AATGACTTTTACAAGACGAATTTGCATCTAATGTATCCCATCAAACAAGAAACTGAATTTTTCCATTTTTGTCATTCTGCATTTACCCTGTTTTTCCCCTTCCAAAGTTACACAGCTCTATGGATCTCGGACATCAAACAAACAGTACATGTTCAGATATCATCTAATCAGTTTTCAGCTAATGATTCGTCCTTTCTTCCTTGCTTTATCGAGTTTCTTCTTTTTGACTACATCTCTTCGCGCCTGCAGATTTGTATCGCGTTTTTCTTGTCGTTTCGACTGTTTATCCGCCACCGTCTCCAGTCGCTTATCCCATTTGTGCTTACGTTGTTCGTGAATTTTCTCCTTTCTTTTCATACCTCTCTTCAGCAACTGTGCGTTATCCTGATAAGTGGATGAATATAAACACAATTTCATTTTCCGTTCATCCAACTCCATCTTCAGCAAACTTTCTCCTGTACCTTTTGCTAGTTTGATTGAAAATTTTCAAACAAAAATGCCATAAGCTGTGATTTTCATCATAAAAATTCACGAGACTCCCTCAAGACACCATCAAACTCTATGGATGCTAAGTAATTTCAAATTATCGTATGAAACAATTTAAAATTCATAACAATAACACCACTCAAAAGTCAACAGAACATTACACCATACTTCGTGATCCAATCGTCATCAATTCATTTGTCAATCAATCCCTCAGAAACCAGTTGAACAAAAAAGAAAAAATAAATAAACGAAACGATTTCATTTCCAGATCTTTTCTCTAGTCTCACCACAAAACTTTCTTCCCTACTGGAATCAACAACTCTTAAAATAAAAGAGAAGACAAACTCAATGCTCAATGTATTACCTTAACTTTAACGCCTTCAATTCGACTCATTGCATTTTTCCACTTGATGTTCTCCTCAATTTTTTCAGCTTTTTCAGGATTCTTCTCTCTTATACTCGCGATCCTTTGGTCTCGTTTCTCCACTTTTTTCAACAGACGTCCATAGTCTTTACCGACGAATTTATCTCGTTTATCTTTTTTGGTTTCTTTCTGAACACATACAAATGAGCAATCTAATTCATAAAATATTTCAGGTGATTCTAAGCATCCATAAACGAGCATCAATAGCAAAACTGACTACATTCTCAGAATTCAATCGCTATGACAAGTACTCTGAATCTATCGCTAAAACAAAATAAACAGTAAACTACAATTTGAGGGTGAAGATCAACATTCCTTATGAAATCCAGAATCTACATCTGATGTATCCCATCAGGCTGAAAAAATGTGGACCAATTGAAAAATATGCACAATCATTTCAACGGATCAATTCTCTGTTTCATTACTGAACAACGAAATCAAATCAGTCTCTGTAATGAAGACTCAGTCAGCAATAACTTTCTTCAATAATAAATAATAAAGTGTGCCAAAGACAAAATCACCATAACTCACTTTTGGATTATCCTTGATGATGAAATCAAATTTAGAGTAGACCAATTGACCGTTATCATTGACCGGTTGAGCTGGATTCTTCGACGATAACACTCCATTTTCTGTTTTCATTCCATTCGATGCGTTACTGGTTGATTCACTTAAAGTTTGACGCACTCAGAAACATTGACTTGACTTCGTGGTTGAACACGAAGGGAAATGTTGAATTTCAAATGATAAATGACTGATAAAGACATTCACTGTGAAGCAATGATATCAAATAAATCAATCACCTTTTGTCGGTTTTAGTTGCTTCCTTAAGAACTTTTTGCTTTTCCTTTCTCTTGATAACACTCATTCGACGTTTCAATTTTCTCTGCTCTTCATAGTCTTGCGCTGATTTCTTACCTTTACGCAAACCTATCAAAATGAATCAGTATTATAAGTTGATATTGTTGTTGTGATATACGNTCCAAAGGATCCATAATTGTCAGATCTTTACATTCACCATTGTTTGGCGAGTCTTTTTTACTACTGAAATTGCATCAGGTTTAGTTTAATCATTTCAGCAAACAACTCATTAGAATACGACATTTACAAATTTTCAATGAACTGGAGTATCACTCATATAATTAAGTTCAATTCTGATCGATGATTCAATAGAAATTTTTTGACTCACTTTTTTATTTTTGATTCTGACGGTTTTTTCGAGATGTTTTTAGCAGACGCTGAATCAGGCTTCTGTTTGACATTGGTGTCAGAAATATCTTTGCCGTTCGTATCACTAGAGCTGTTATCATTATCACTGTTATCACTAGATTCATTATCACTATGTGCAGACTTCTTCAATAGTGGTCGATCCGATGAGGATACGGCCGCTGGCTGCTCTTTATCGTCTATGTCAAGCTTCATCCTCTTTGCCGACGATGGCTGTAATGCGATGGATTTCATAGGGATGAAACAATAGCTTCAATCAGTCTATTCAACTTATGAAAGCTTACATTAGTCTAGTTTAACTTTAACAAAACGCTCATAGAAACCAATATGTATCGTATTGATTACATTTTGTTTTCTCATAAATTTAATGGAGAATTAAAACTAATCGTAAGTTCCCTGCTGACTGCAACTTTNCTTAAGATAATGATCGTTTCTCCTCGAACCGATATAATGAAAGCAACAAAGTACATTGAATGTCTGTGATGAAATATAATGAAAAGCAATGTGAAACGAAAGGTAAAGAAATGTGGAATGTTCAACAAACTTTATAAGAATTTGATTGAGGTTCATTTGATGTTGTATCAACATCAACACTAGCATCATCACTCTTCTCACGTTTCAGTTTGATTTTATTCGGTTTCGTATTAAGATTTTTATTGTTCATCCAATCAATCACATCACTTATCCGGCGACACTCACCGTGCATTTGACGTGCCAGCTTTTGTTTGTGTGCATTACTCAATTTCTTTCTCTCTTCTGCAATTCAAACTTTCTTATGAAAAGCGCTAAACAACTACTAAATAGTTCATTAGGGCTTCGGTACGTTTTCGTGGTTTTACGTTTCTCATAAGGTTTAGCTACCTTTCACGCCTGAATTTTTCGAGGAACGCGTTAGTAAGAGCATATTCCTCAGAATATTTAAATCTATTTGGCTCTATGATCTCGATCTTAATCACAATAGCTTTCCATATAGCAGCTTCATGGCCCTCACGTCAACTTCCAACTTCTCAGCCAATTGAATTGTGAAATTTCAGATGGGAGCATCGATACAGACGACATAACATACTCTGCATCCCTGGCCNAAGCAAATCTTGAACTGACTGACCCTTGCTGAGGTGTTCATTGACAAGTTTATGTTTACGCTGTTTGAGTTTCTCTAAAATTTCATCCGAAAATCCCCAATTATTGATGGGAATCAAATCAATATTGGATCTGATCAACTGCTCTGTTGCTGTTATCGCTTGTAGCAAGGATATATTTGACTTATCCTTATTATGCATTCCTGAAATGAACATGCCATTAAAACATTAAATTCCGTATTATTTATGAGATATTCAAGGCGATAAATCCTTTCCACGCAAGCAACCTATTCAGTTCAATTGCGTTCATCATTAGTATAATTGGTATTACTATCATCTAGCGTATTTCGAATCCACGGTAATTCAATTCAGTGTTACGAATTTAATCTTTGAAACGTTGAAACGTAAAAATGGAGAGGAACTTTTAGTGGAAAACGTTACGGCTGAAACTCTCCATTCGGATGAACTAATTCCAAAATCAAAGCTCTTCTATAACCCTCCTGATTATTACTAATGATCAGATTTCCTCTTGAATATTCGTAATATTATTTCCTTAATGAACAATGAATTCAACAAAATGTTTCAACTCATATTTTGAAAACAGTTCGTTGTTTGAAATATGCGAAATGCAATTGGAACATACATATTAGTAGATGTTTTTTCTAGAAAGAAAAAACAATATGACACTATGATCTAATGCTTTATTTACTTCGCGCGAATCTTCACTTATTAAAGCATTGCAAAATGAGAAGACGACAACATTAGAAGCGAACGATTTCAAGATAGAAAGTATACAGAAGAACGTCAAACATCGGTATCAACTCATTAACGACACAATACCTGCAATGAAACTGTAACAATGACAATGATCATCACAACAACAATAACGATTAAGTTAATCATAAAGATGAAATTAATGATGACAATAGCGATAATAACCCAATTTTTCGAGCACTAATCATTTCATTTGATCAATTACAGCATAAGTAAGAAAGATCTGTTAAAAAGACAAAATCATTCCAAAAACAATCAATCATAAACACGATATGGGCGAACATTTCTTCAAATGCACATGTAAATTCAAGTGATCAAAATAATCGCATTTCACTACCATAAATAATAAACAGTAATTATAATAGTAAGTAATAACAGTAATTATACTATCAATCCAAACAAAGTGTCATGTTCGTTTCACCATTCAATTTTTAACTAATCGCTTTCAAAGAATTACATTCCCGTCAAACAAATTCACACGTGCAAATGACTTCGAGTAGGCAGTAAATTAGATTGTAAGTCAATTGAAATCATTGTAAAAATACAACGCATCTTTAAGATCATTCAATGTGGAATTCCAAACGCATCAATGAATCAAACATCATATAACAAGAATAATCAAACACACTACAAAAAACTACAAACTAAAGAAAAGTATCCAATATCACACTATAACATTGCTAAATCATAATACCAACAAAAGCAATAAGGATAGTAATAATGACAGTAAAAAGGACTACAATGGCAAAAACAATTATCAAGAAAATAGAATAACTAAATCAATAGNAAAGGTAGTAATTACAGTAATGAGAAAAACAACACTAGCAAAAAATAGGCAATTACGAAACTGGAACAACTTCAGTGGTGAGTCGATTCTGAACGGTCTTGATACGACTTTGAAGAATCGCCCAAATGTCGTCGGCTAATTCGTTCAATTCCGTATAACGAACGCGATTTATGTTGAATATATCCGATACGAATGAAAACGTTTGTTCCTGAAAGCATTTCATTTGAACATTCTGCAATCGATCTTCCATTCATTTTACTTTTAAGCCACACATAATTTCAGTGTAATTTTCACTCTAAATTATACGAGCTCAATAAAAGAATCAATCACCTTGAAATATTGGCATAATCCACGCACATGCTCATCGGTACCAAGAAATCCCAATGTTATCGTTGGCGATATCACTTCAGAAATATTGTAAAAGTGTGCGATAAAACCATTTTGGTGCTGAAAGATTAACACTCATCAACACAGTTCACACTATACCTCTATCCAGACACCATAACCGAATAAAACGCAGCCAGATTATCAAAACCTTCTGCAGATNNNNTATGCGCATATCTCTTAATCGTTTACGATAAAACCCCAAACTTGGGGATTAAAATGAGCAAAAAATCAATGAAATCCAATAAAATTCGAAACCAATAATCGTGATCTCTTTGCTTTCAGCATTGACCAAATGACGGTCGTAAGCGTTGAATCTTTCATCGAATGACTCAAAAACATATTCTTCGTCACGGCGTATACGGCTGGCGGAGGTCGTGCCAAATCGTCGAAAGAGTCCATCAACACAAAATCCAGCATCACATCCCAGAAACTCAAGTCTGCCACCTAAGAGCAAACCAATTTTTCTATGCTGAATGAAATGCAAAGAAATCCAAATGGAACTTCAACAGCGCAACATCATTCATTGCAAATAAACTATCCGAATGCACTAATTGTATTTGCAGTACGTTCTATTTCCATGCCATTAAAATAAAATGAAACTCAAATAACTTTTTTACACAACACAAAATCCACTAACTCGTCGTTGTTTCAGTTCCTCTTCAAAGATTCCCTTATTTTGCTCGTTCATTAAAAACTGCATCATCGCATCATAAGCCACGTAGAATTTTGCCGGATCTTTTTGTGACTGTCTCATCAAATCGGCAATTAGTTGGCGACCGGCTTGTGCTAACCATAATCGATTGTGTTCATTCGATAGGATACTCTACAAAAAAAAGCAAGAAACATAAGAATATAACTTGGATATCATCTCAACTACATAGCAATATAAACAATCCCAACCCACACACTCATACAAATTACTCGAAATTTTACTCCAAATTTCAACTCAATGACGATAAATACTTAATGAAAACATCTAAACTACTTCAGTAACCAATAATCACAATTTGTTTCATTTCGAACATCAGAGCAACAAAAAAAGAAAAAGCATCAAACCACTTCACTCTGAGAAACCAGTCAACCAAAAAAACAAACAAACAAATTAATCAATTAAAGAATAACTGAAGCAACTCACATTAAATGCTTGCCGTATACACCATACTTTTGCCTTGAAATCCGCTTCACTGTCACATCCGCAATAGTCACATCTTCA